ACTGTATGGAATTTGATGCGAAGAGGCGGATTATTACAATTTTATGCGATTCGTATGCAGTTTGCCTCGAATTATGCGATTATTCGATTTTGGTAAGAATTATGCGAAAAATTATGCTAGCATAATCCGTCAAGGCCTAATTCACATGGGGTGATGTGTGAATCGATTCGCGCGTGTAATCGAACGCACTCACTGTCTTTGCTCCTTGCCGAGATGTAATGCTGGTGTCTGTGGTGATCAGATGCACCAAGACGGCAAGAGTCAAGACTTTTCCTGTAAAAAAAAAAAAAAAAAAAAAGTAAATTATCGTATCCGTTCCCGAAGGGAACTCACGACGGCCGCTAACACCCGATAAACCCATAAAGACTTTTCCTGTCATACTAGTATAATGAGTGTAATGATTCTACTATTTCTACGTGTAGTACTAGTACTGTAGTGACGTAAACAAGCGCTTTTTTTCGGCTGAACGGCTGAATCGAGCTCGGTGTGACCATGGTGACCGCGGCCAGTATACTATAGTGTACTAGTAGCGTAGTACTGTAGTGTAGTACTGTAATGAGTCAACATAATGTACTTTGAAGTACAGTCGAATGTCACTTATCCGGTCGCCAGTTACCCGAGCACGTCAGTTATCCGACAAGCCCGGGAGTGGTAATTTTATGACTCTCAACAGTAAAATTCTAAAAATAACTTTTTGTATATACGGTGTAATGTGCATTTACTTGAAGTAGATGCGGTCAAGTATGCTAACATGTACATGTATGTGTACATGGAGCAATTCATGAATATTCATTATTTGGGTATTGTGTCCATAAATCAGTGAAATCCAGCCATATACATGTATGCACATAAAAAATGATATCAGTTATCCAACATATCCAGTTATCCAACAAGTTACATGCCTGATTCCCGAGGTGGTCGGATAAGTGACATTCGACTGTACAGTGTACAGTCATGATAATGCCTAGTGCCTTTTTGTAGTGGGCAGGCCTGACACTGACGTGACAGTGAGTCAGACCATCACAGAGACACAGACTCAGTACGGGACAACTCACCAGTACTCAGTAGATCTACTACTAGACTAGTACTTGTAGTACTACTACTTACCAGTACAGTACTCATCAAGCATTATTTAACCGGCTGGGAACGGAACGACTCACCACTTCAACTAGCCATTGGCGGACTATGCTCGGCCAATCGTCAAATTATGCTTTGGATTATGCCACAATTATGCCAACAAATAATTATGCTGAATTTTGCTGAATTATGCTCGGTTCCACTATGTATTCACGCTGTACATAGAGGATTGAGGAACCACGCATACACATACACACGGCCATGCCCTAAGCATAATTTTTGTCTAAACCGAAAGATCATGCCGACCTTACACGTTGGAATCCGTATAATGCCGGAGCATAATTTTTGGACGAAATCCCAAGATTATGCCAAATATTATGCCGGCATAATCCGCCAAGGGCTATGACAAGGAGTCGTAACTGGGGTATTAAAAAAAAAACATCTGCAGGCTTTCTGACAAAGCTGTATTATGCCCCTAAGCATAATTTTTGTCTAAACCGAAAGATTATGCCGACCTTACACGTTGGAATCCGTATAATTATGCCGGAGCATAATTTTTTGACGAAATCCCAAGATTATGCCAAAATTAATATTATGCCGGCATAATCCGCCAAGGGTTAACTAATACTTCAACTAAAAATAATACTGTTACATGTACATGTACTTCAACTTCAAGCAATGACTTACATAATTATATGTGTGGTGTAATGAGTCACACTCGTACTCGGACGTACATGTACAGTACTACACGCACTAGTAGATGTGTAGTCTCTAGACTAAAGACAGTAAGTACATGTACATGTATAATTATGACTAGATTTGAGTTCTACTAGTACGTGTACCGGTACTTCAAAACTTATAACGTGTTACTTGTAGGGGTGCAACGACTCACCCAAAAATTCCGACTACTCAGTAGATAACTTTAGTCAAGTCAAGTCGGCGGAATAGGGCGAGCTCCAGTGTGGGGAGCAAACCCTTTTCAAACAAATCATCGCCGAAGTCGCAACCACTATGACTATGATGATTGATTGTATTATCGTACTGATATGCCCAGCGCGGGCTTCCGACTAACTCGTTTGGAGGTGACAGCGTTGTGAATGACCGAGGGCCCTCAACGACTGGGGCCGTCCAGGAGCGACATGCTGCTTCTGGTGTTCGCGAGGTGTTTGTCGCGCTGGAAATGGAACGGCTCTGTATTTTGTATCCCTGGTGATGTTTGTGCCTGGACAGCACTATAATATTATACAGTCGTCCCTCTCTAATCCAGCACTTTATAATCCAGCACCCTCGATAAACCAGCACAATTTTCAGTAGCCAAAATGTCCTCTTCATGCACGTTCTAGCTAGCAGAAAATCAGATTTGTTAATCCAGCACCCTCCCTAATCCAGCAGATTTTCCGTGGCACAAAATGGTGCCGGATTATAGAGGGACCACTGTACACGTACATGTATGTGGTGCTCTTCAGGCACAATCTTCCTCAGCCTGCTCAAGCACAATTGATGAGGGGTGAATTCCCCGAAACATTGTGTATTGAGCAGGGAGTGGCGCTTTCTTGCCCGTTTACCGAGTCGAAGGTCCGATAGACTTCTCGTGTGCTCTGGATGGCAATCATGAGTCAGTCAAGTGTCAAGTCAAGTCGGCGGAATAGCGCGAGCTAGGTCCAGTGTGGGTAGCAAACCCATTTCAAATACATTTTTATTCCTTTTTTATTATGCAAGCCAGGCGCGTCACTCAACTGTTGTTTCGGGCATTGCGCAGCCCTGGGCCCGCGAACATTGGGAATTCACAACGCTGTCACCTCCAAACGAAAATTACTAACTACAAGCATTAATTGCAGTTACCATGTAGATAGAAATCACAGGGTTTTGACCGGGAAATTTAGCAATGGTTAGTCTCTGGAGCTTTAACACGAGCTTGAATATCCCTGCAAAAACATGTGTATATGAACGTGGAATGTCAGTTATTCACCAGGGATTTAGAAAGAGAGCAAGAATATCAAGGGAAGGGAGACAACAGGATGCAAACCAGCCATCAGCTTAGCACTGATGGCTTGGAGACTTCAAACTCTGATACGGCCCTTGGCGGGAACATCGCTGATTGGTCGTCTCCTGGACAACGAGACAGACCTCGTTCTAAACCTTTTGATACCCGCTCCCTCCACCCTTGGCCCCGGAGCACGCTATGACACCAGAGGACATGGTTATCAAACCGTTGAAAACGGAGCAGATTGAGTCGAACACTTCCATCAGCTCGGCTTTGGAGATGTGAAAAGTGTAGACGGCCGACTGGCAACCTGTGCTGAATGGCTTGGCACCAGGTGTACCACGGTCTGTGCCAGCATAGCACGCCATGGGCGTGGACACGTTGTGGGCAAAGTAGTCGCCGGGCCCTGAGATGCCACAGCAGCTGAATGAGGTCTGCATAGATTGCCAGTTCTTCATAAGGTCACTGTTGCTGTTGATAGATGAATGGTGACTCAGGACAGTGCTCTTCAGCTCCCCGACGTAGGCTTTAAACGACGGTTGCAGCTTGTCATGCACGTTCTGATTCGTTTCGTTCTTCAGGTGGGAGGACATTGCCGCGCCGACAATAGCAACCACCGTAAAAATGGTTGTAAATCCTGCTTGTATCGCTGCACATCCACGAGATTTGGACGCGCAGTAGCAGCAGGTAGTACTCAGGAAGCCTGCTCCCAGTATTGTTCCTGCCGCGGAAGCCGCTTTCCAGCCACGTTGGCCCATTTCGATGATGTCGAGAGCTGCTTTCAGGTCGTCTGCGCGAATCCCCACATCAATGGCTATTCCCATTGCCGTGAAGTAGAAAATAGCTGCAATGATATTCAACGCAGCGTGCACAAGCACTACCAGCTCCATTGTACTTGCAGGAACGGAACACACAGCTGCTACAGAGCTACGATGATGGAAGGAGACCGCTTCAAGTTCTGTTCAACGCCAGTGAAAGAGAGAGAGACGGAGACAGAGGCCAGAGGTACGCTTCAACTCAACTTTCTTAGTTTTGTGGTGTGCTGCATGCTGATTTCAGGATACCATGTCATAATGATATGCAGGCAGCTGAGTGATTTTTGTTTTCCGCTCCTGGCTTTGTAGACTTCAGACGCACCCAGGAGCAGCGTGTAGAATTGATCCTAAACGGTCGGGGCGTATGCCATCCAGCGGAGATGGTAGCAGCACGCTTGTCCAACTGGAAGTCAACAGCTCGCTGGTTGTCAAACTTGTGTCATATGTGCTGACGTGCAGCAGTGTAGATATTCATACTGTGTGGCAAACCAATAAATCTCCTGCGCTATGATACGCGTCCTTGTCAGTAGTACAGCTGCCAAATGGGAAAATCAACTTTTTCAGGGGCGTCGTTGCAGTTTAGGACCGAGCACTATATTTTAGGCTAGGATGGTAGACAAGGGTATATAAAGCACGATCGTCCTTGTTGGACATCCTGGCGACGTGCGGGAAGCTAGAAATTCCATTCCTTTTCTTCGTCGTCGGGAGTGGTAATTATTCAACGGTCGGTTGTATATTTACAATTCGTTTCGTTATTTTACGACTCGATGTGCTAATTTTACAACACGACGTGTACATATACGTGTTATATTTGTACCGCAGCTATCTCGACCACACGTTTTTCATTTGAAAATTGAAAAGCAATTATTAGTTACAATTGTAGTTGACTTCTGTACCACTCGTTTCTCAAATGGATTGGAGACTGAAATGTTCACTTGAACGTATAGTGGCTGGCGAAATGAAGCCCTAGTACCAGTACGAATCGATAGGGAACGAATTTAGTAGTAGCTACTTCGAGGTTGTTTTGAGAACTCAGGAAGTAGCGTTTACTAGCAGTAGTTTTCTACTACACTACTTTCAATGTTACTGGACAGCCCGAGGCAATCTGGATCACACTTCAGAAGCAAGTAAGCTGTTCATCGTTGCTGAACATAGTATTGCACAGTATGAAGTAGTTTGAACATTGTATGAATGTTCTCATATCACAGCTCTAATTGCATTCACAATTAATTATGAATCATGGTAAATTTGTAACGAATCAGGTAGATGCTATACTGAATTCGAGGGAAATAAGACTAAAAAAGAGTGGCTGGTAATGAGACTGAAAGAGCTCATCACGAACTGTAACTGGTTATGGAATCTTGATTATCTAGATAACAATAATGTGATGAGTGCACGATCATAAAGGCTAGAACTTAGAAATAAATAAATAATTTTGGAGTATGTGTGCTCACTACACTCTCCTTTTTGGTAGTCTATAGTACAAAACAGAGCAAGATGCATAATATATATATCAGCTGTATGTAATATCATGTATCGCTGCTCATTTCCGTGGTAAATAGCATGCATACAACTTCATGTTGGAATGCCCCTGCATTTGCATACACGATGCCCACGTGGAAAAGCCTGTAATAATAAAAAATAATAATCTATCTAAAGAAAGAAATGCTTTGTAAGCCAATAATTATGGTTACTGTCGGGTAAGGTATACAAGTAGGGTAAAAAAACTAAAAGCGCACAGTTGATCCCATGCTAGAAGACACATGAGAGCATAATAATTATTATCAGACGTGCTCGCATCATGATTTCTTGTCTTCCATCCCAAGAGCTGTATGCCGCATACACTTCCATCGCATCTAAGCAAGACAGAATGACCAGAGGCATATTTCTTTAAAACCTGTATGTAATGAGGCTCTAAATATTCAACAAACACACCCTCTTCAGTCTCTTGTTACTTATCTGCTCACTACCCTATGCCTTTTAATTAATCTTTTTCACTGCCGAGAAAACAGCACGCATCAAAAGTAGAAAACTTGCCGTACCTTCCTAATCAAAATCCGATTGGGGGTCTGAGTCTTCTTGATCTTCGGTGGCATACTCTGAAGGATCAGAATCATCACTGCTTGAGGATGGCTCGTCAGTGGGTAAATTGGTGAGGTCCTGCATTGAACAAACAGATGAATATTACCGGCCAGTACTGCAGCACGTGACTTCTTTTACAAACACACCCATGCATGCAAAACAGACAGACACACACACACACACACACACAAGTACGTACACACATTCGCGCGGACACCCGTACTCGCACGCACAATATGCAAGGAACATGCCAAACAAGAGAGGCTAGATCTTCTAATTAACCTAAATTAGTATGTGATTGTATACCTCTGCTTCAGCAGCCAGTGTAGCAGGTGGTGGCGCAGATGCTGCCTCTGATTCTTCTGGCGCGTCAATGGGTAAATTGATGAAGTCCTGCATTGAACAAACAGATGAATATTACCGGCCAGTACTGCAGCACGTGACTTCTTTTACAAACACACCCATGCATGCAAAACAGACACACACACACACACACACACACACACACACACACACGCACCTAACCACACATGCACACATGCGCGCTGACACCTATACTCACACGCACAATATCCAAGGAACATGCCAAACAAGAAAAGCTAAATATTTCAATTAACCTAAATTAGTACATGATTGTATACCTCTGCTTCAGCAGCCAGTGCAGCAGGTGGTGGTGCAGGTGCTGCTTCTGATTCTTCTGGCACCGCTAGTTCTTGAGGTAGTGTCGCTTGTCCAGGGACGGATGGTGTACCGAATGAATTCTTGCATCCTTTGCATTGGCAAATGTCGGTACAGGATAGGGTCTGACTTCGACATGAGCACCGTCGTGTTGAGCAGCCAGTCTGGCACTTGCATGAAACTAACTTCAGTATATCTTGGGGGGCTGCTTGCTGCTCCATCCACACTATAGACAAGCCACCTACAGTTCAGCAGAGGAGTAGACAACATACATGTAGATCACCAAAACCTGGTAACAAAAATGATGGTGATTTTCACAAGGCATTTATTAGGATAAATTTGTGCACAGCGTGTTCGTTGTGTTGATTGTTTCAATGCAATAAGTTCATTGGCATTACAGTGTCCTAGAAAAGAATACACATCATGCGGAGCAATGCTTCTCGTCTCACCTTGATCTGATACTCTCCATCCATTCCCGTCGGGGCTGGGGATCTCGGGTGATGGCTGTAAAGCCAATCGCCACACTACTGCTTGGTAGTTTGCTCGCAGGACATGCTTCCGCAATGCATCTCGTGATGGTGGCATATTCTGTGGTGTACTGGAGTTGTTGCGCAGCAGCTCGAAACGTACGTCATTGATATTTGACAAGCTTGCACATCCATACAATCTGGCCAAGAACACCTCACACAGCCCTTGCAGTCGTTCGTCCACATTGAAACTCTTGCCCAACTCAGCCATCGCCTCTGCCTGCGCACAGTCTTTCTTGATCAATTCCAGAGCGGCCTTCTTCCCTTTCCCTGAGAAAGCGCTAACGCTATCGCATCCGGTGAAAGCATGCAGGCCAATAAGTGCTTCAGAAGCAGCTGGACCAAGCTTTGCAGAGAGGGCACTGATGTCAACTAGCTCAGGCTTCTTCGCGGAACCAGTCTTGAAGACGAGCTGGCCATTGATAGACGTGGACAAACCAATGGCTATGACTGCAACGTCTGTGTCGGGTGAACATATGAGTGCTGACTGGAAACCATGAGATGTTGCATGGGCTGAGTGAAGCAGTAGCCTTGTGTCTGCTTCCTCATGAGTGCAGGATAGCTCTGGTATCTCGGTTGCACGAAGACATGTTGCTGTTAACGATGGTGCAGCAAGCTGAATGCAAGTGGTGCCAACTGTAATGATGACTTGCTTCTCGGTTCCCAACAAGGACACAAAGTGCTCTGATGTTTTCCAATCTGTGGCAAGGAACTGAACCAAATTCGTCTTGTTTGTACCGTTGGACAAGTACCGCTTCCATTCCTTTGGTGTGGCCTGGTCACGACGCTCTGCTCGAATCACCAGTGGATCTTGTTGCCCAGTTCTCTTCTGGCGTTCGAGCTGTTTGATGGAGATGTCCCAGTACCGGTCAGTTACAAAGTCTACACGTGACGCATTGCTTCTGACCATGTTTGCCAACAGCTGCCGGAAGATCTGGTCACTGAGTGCACCGAATGTCGGAGGTGGGGAAGGCGTGGCTTGAAGAAGTGCCATTGCGTCAATCACAACACAGCAGCCAGCTGGCGGGTGATCTCGTAGTGCACTGTCTTTCCCCAGTGCATGTAGCAACTTGGACTTCTGCGTTGAAACCATCCCGCCATCAACAGTGGCTATTGCCCACGGAACAGGCCCGAGCTCATATTGCACTAACGTTCGCACGTCGAATGTGCGATTCTTTGCCATTATGAGGAGCTGTGTGAACAGCTGGCGGTCAGCTTTCACGGCTTCGAACTTGGAAGTGGACTTTGCCTTCTTCTTGCTGTCTGTGAATGAAGGCAGCTTCCTTGCTGGAATCCGGTCAAAGAAACTGGCTTTGGTAGACTGTAGGCGCTCTTTGAGAAACAGCTGGAAGGCTACTTCTCCTTTTGCCTGGGCCTGCAACAACTCTGTTTGAGCAGCTGGCGTGCACACCGTTCTTGTTGAGAGGCTCACCAGCTCCTTGCCATCGAATGGACTGCCCCAATCCAGTAGCTGGTTGACGATCTTTACCACAGCTTTCTCGTCTCAGGAGATGCTGGCCACTGCTTCGTCTGGGTGGCGCGACACATCTCCAAACGCAACACCCTCGTCCATTCTGGCCAAATCATGGCACGCTCTTACAGTTGCCGAACGCTCATGGATGGTTAATATCCAGCGATGGACAGCACCAGGATTGCGGCTGAACCCGACAATACCACCCATAGTCTTACTAGCACGGTTCAGAGTCTGCTCAATAGCTTGATCCACTGGGACTTGTGCAAAGTGCCGTTCCGACCTTGCGACACAGAAGTCTCCGGACTGAAGTGCTTCATGGGCAGAAGGATTCCTTGTAGAGAGTGTGGACATGTCGGCCCAGTAATAGGTGCCATAGCGCGCATAATTTGTGTGGTTGTAAGCATAGAACCATGGCAGCATGCGGCGAATGCAGGCCAGGTGAAGGCTCCAGTCTTGTGTCCTCGTCGCACGGAGGAACAGGAGAAGAAGCTGGACCATATCCAAGTATGAGAGCCAAAGGGCCGCCATGGGCGAGGCTTTGCGCAAATCAGTAGAGTGCTTCTCAAGACGACTGGACAAGCGGCTAAAGTCGTTGCTGTTCACTATGCTGGAAACTGTTGCAGTCGCCTTCGTCTCTTGCACTTTCCGGAGCACAGCTGAAAGTCTGTCCCATTCGACAGCATCATCACTGGAGAGCGACTTATTCAGGTGCTGTAAATTCAGCCGTGTCAATGCTTCATACAGCAACTTGTGCACACGTATGGCACGATTGTAGTGCTTTCCACTGACTACACCCTTGACAGACTGTAGACCAACGATGCCTGTCATAGTTAGCAGATCAGTGAGGCCAGCTTCTGCAAAGCGCTTGCCAATGACAGACAGAAAAGAGCAGGTGGTGTGGAATGCACCTAGTCGAAGCACCACATCTGGAAAAGCATCTTTCTGCTTCCACAGCACTTCCAAGCCCTTGGCATATACAGCTTGATCAGCAGTGATTATGCAGTGCTGCTGGTTAAGCTGGCGCGATATTGCTGAAGACCGCTTCAACACCTCCAGCACTACGCCAATATCTGTTGGAGGTGCTGGAATGACGGGCAAGTAGCCAACAGCTGTGGACTTTGGTGACGTACTAATCATAGAGTTGAATCCTGACCAGCTGGGCACTGTTTGTTGAGCCTCGTCTGATTGCTCTGATGATGCATCTGGCACTGCAGGACAATTGCGCAGCAATACCCATAACATGTCAGTTTGTGCACCTATGTGGCTCGATGAGGATGGTGCTGGGTCCAGTGCTGGAAGCTGGGGTGGCTCTCTTCTCGGTCCAGACACATACTCATACTCTGCTGGTGGTGGTGCAGGTAGTGACCTTGCTGCCCTCTTGCTGCGTGTAGTAGGGGCTGTAGATGCAGATGTTGCCGGCGGATTGGTGGATGCTGGTGTAGAAGATTCGTGCTGCCTTTGAAGGACAATGCCGTTGGTGCAGTGTGTTGTGCCTTCTCCGGTAACCGTTTCCTCGCAAAGGTCATTGTTGTCCCAACAAAAAGAAAACATTCTTTGTCGGGTCAATAACGCTGGGCACAAACACGTCGGTGTCCAATGCCTCTTTTGCCAGCGAGGTCTCGATCTCAGAGAGCTTAGTGTCGGAAACACCGTGTCCGAAACGATTAAGTGTAGTCACTAACTGCTGGCTTCTGGTCAGGTGGCGGACTGTCATAGGAAGAGCAACACTCTTAGGTGTTATGATGCGGCCTCTTGTCGCGGCATACACAATATCTTGCCCAAGAGACAAGACCTTGGCTCTCTTAGGCGCATCCAGCTTAGCTCTTTTCACCACACTGTCACAATCCTCGATGTCTCCCACACCAAGCACCCATGCCAGGAAGTTGTAAAGACTATCTGGCACGCACCGACTGGCATTCTCCTCAGTGAGGTCAGATGCGTGTGGAATGTCAGGCAGGATGGGGGAGATAGCTTTGATGTCACTTCTGACTTGTAAGGCAGCATGGAAAATGTCATGAGCCATTGACAACGGGATGTCTGTCCTGACGTTGCCTGGGACCGACGGACTCTGCCGATCACGGGGGTTCTGGAGTCGACGGGATCTCTCTTCCGACATTTCCTGTGACCGGCGCTGAATCGCTCGTTCACGCTTATTTTGGAGACGACGGGATCTCTCTTCCAAAGTACATGTATGTTAATGCGGACGCATCCTATCACCTATTCGGCGTCTATTCTAATTTAATTTCCTCCTCGTCTCCCTATTTCTTTCCAAATCTCCCTCTACATCAGGGAGTCGTATACATAATACGACGAATATTGGTACGGTACGGGACAGATACAGGAGCCCGCAAATATTGTGGACAGCTGTTATGTACAATCCTGTAGAGCCTTTGTAGTCACAGATACAGGACAGCTCCAGCCGTGACACAAACAAACAAACACACAAACACCAAATTAAAGCTGTGTGGACCCTGGCTAGCGCCAGGCGTTACTGAAGTAACGTCTTCTGCATAGCTACGGGAATAAAAGCCGAGTAAAAGACCGAGGCGAAGCCGAGGTCTTTTACGAGGTTTTTATTTCCTATACTGACCAAGTACGAAGTCCATATTAGATTTATCACGACAAACAGTCCGTATTTCAAATTCCAGAATGATAACCTCATGAATCCCGGTTTTATGATTGCACAACCGTTGCACCACCACCTACTCATGCAGTGACAATGCAGCACTGCCACTAGGCACCGTTCAACTGCGCAACCCCTAAGCAGTCAAATATAAGCAGTCAATATAGCCCTAAGGAATGAAATATGCAGGAATATTTGACTGCTTAGGGATGGCAAAAATCTATGTGAGTCAATACTAAGGGAGTGATAAACTGTTATATCGAAGCTTGAAGCTCCGATGCGCAAACAGCTGCGACAGAGCATTCACCTTTTTCGGACCGGTTTTCGGAAGAGCCTTCAAAAATCGGACACTGTCCGAAAAATCGGACGGTTTGGCAGCACTGGACTCACGACGGCAGAATTGACTGGGAGCATGCGTGTGTGTGAGAGTGGGAAAACGAAATGAAAAAGAAAAGAAGAGTCTTGTAATAAAGGTCAAATTCAAGAACAGCAGTACTAGACTGAATGGCTGAGCGAATGCTACTCCATTGTTTCCTGTCGCGGGCATATCTGCTGAGATCACGAAGGCAGCTGTGCTTAAAAGTGCAGATAGGTGTGAGGCTGAAAGGCTGAATGAAGTAGGGAAATAATCATCCCATGATCTTCTACAATGTGAATGCTTCCCCGTACGCATGTCATTATGCAGCATAAGAAACTTCAACAAAACAATGATTCAAAGAGACGTTATTCAATATAAGTCATGCACTTCTATTGCTGGATATGTCGAATTTTTTTCTCTTTTCAGTAGTGCTGAAACGATTATATCGATTACTCGTTACTTACTCAATAAGAAATAGATCGAACGGTTATTTCGATTTTATCGGCTAAACGAGTAGAATGGTACTGACGCTCGGTATGGGATTTTCTCCCTTTTGGGGGTCGCACAAAGCGTGCATGCACCGAAAGTGTTGCGAGTACGACACGATGGTACATGACTGTACACTTGCAACGTCGACGTACGTGTAAGTACAAGCGCGATCTGAGAAACATCGACGCGATCACTGTTAATAATAGTGTTATGTTGCCATATTTTTAGCTGACTACTTTTCTTACATACAGCATGCAGGTCTGGCCGGCTCAGTATGTGTCTACACTAGCTGCAGGTGCTGGAGTTCTCTCCGCGTGCGAGTTGTCTTGAGCCAAAGACAGTAAAGTGGTTTTCAGTTTCATGTTTTCCGTTCTATCGACGGTTCCCGAACCAGTTTGGTCGACGACGAGCTAGGCCTGGCGTCTGGTCCAATTAATATTTAGAGCATAGACAGGAAAAGCAACTAGTTACTTGTTGGCGCGCCTCTAGTCAGCTCATCCGTCGAAATCCGCCGATCTGCACCCCTGGCCGGCTTCTCTGACTTCATCGTCGGACTCAGCGAAGTCACAGGCGAAGGGCACCATCAGCTCTTGGGTTGCAACCAGTGCGTCGCCTCTGTCTGGTCCGTAATCGTCTGGTCAGTCCGAACAACTGACGGGCTTGTTGCGGGATCATCTGATCTATGGGGCCGCTTTCCGTCGTTGGCGATGTTGGACTCGTAAATGTTTTGAAACTCACAGAATGCACATGACTGTACTGATGTAGTTACAATAATAATCGTTTAGCCGATAAGCCGATCGTTATGGTATCAGCTAAGCCACTAAGGAAAAAACGTAATCGTTTCAGCACTACTTTTCAGGCAATTCGCTTCCCCGACTGATCCTTTGAATTTCTACGTTCACTGGTATTATAATCAAAGATTCCGTTCAAGGCAGCTGCCATGGTGTGTACCTTACCACCGTTAACACACGCTGTCCGTTCGCTCATTAACTTGCATGAAATCGTTTGTAGTGATGATCAAGCTACAAAGCACTATTTGTAAAACCAATCCAGAGTCACCTCGGTGGAGACGGACAGTTTCTACAGAACCTGCCTGTCGCCATCAGGGTCAAATGGCAAGTCATTAATTTTAGCCGCTACGCCCGACAATCTCAGGAACACCAGTCACGTCCTCCTCCAAGGAACTCGAACCAGCTATGTTACTTCAATTCAGAACTCACAACGACACAAATAAATTGTTCATCGACTGAGTGACTTTACGTTTCGCTTCGTGTTTCTTTGTGTTTGTCTTGAAAATCGAGCAAAATTGAGTCATTCGCATGAAAACGTCTGGTTACGTCAGAGAAACCTGCTGTTTTTCCCCATTTTCAAGCGTTGAACGGCGCAAAAACTGTGAAATCACGTCAACGAAAATAGTGTTCGACGGGCGAACAAACCTACTCGCATCGGTGTAGGTGCACAGTTTCGGGACGGCCAAGTTCTCAAATCGTCCTCTAGAGACCCTTACCTACCCCTCTGAAGTGGCATACCCCGGAAAAAAAATC